TCTTTAACAGATTTAATACGAAAAAAAACAACCTTAGAGTTATTTAGTGAATAAATTTTACCTGCACCATTAAAGAAAGACTGTATCTCTTTTATTAAAGCTAAGTCTTTAGAATGAAGTCCTATTGAGAAATTGGGTGTAATTTTTCATCCTAAATTATGATCTTTAACTTTAGATATATCAACACTAAAGCAAGCTTCTCCGTCGGAGAAACCTGTTACTCAATGTGGATTTAATTTTTGTAGACTATTAGAATGGGTAGAATATTTTTTAACAAAAGGACCTGTCGCTTTTTCTAGTTTTTTTTGTTATTTTTATGTAATAAAAATAACAAAAAAAAACAACAAAAAATATTTGTCTCTATAAAATATCTCTCTTACCTTTTTGATTTCTAATTGTTTTAGGTACAATTATAGATCCGTCACCCTCTATCAACCCTGCTAAATAATGACCTAATAAATTATCATTATTAGATGAAGAGTGATATTGACGACGTTTAAAGGAAGATTTCGATCTTTTACCTAACTTACCCTTCACTGTTAAAGTAAAATATAGTCTATTTATATTTATATTTTCATATAAAGTTGGACTATATTTTCACCTATAAGGTGTATCACGTGTAGTCTCTGAGGACTCAACAAGACAATTATAAATATGTTGATTTCCTGCTGATTATCCTTTTAAATATTAATAATACATAGTATATCATACTATTTAATTAATATTTTAGGGGTTTCCAGCATATAGTGATAATCATCATAGTAATTACTTACTACTCGGGCACAGGGTTAAATACCCGCTCCATTTTCTATTCCACTAGCAAATAGGAATAATATTAAACTAGGTGGTAACATTCAGAATGAAATATTATTAAGTCTTGGGAATGCCATATCTGGACCTCCTACTAGTAATGGAAGTAAGAAATTCAATTTGTTATAACCGTTAGGTTATATTTGGACTATCTCTTCATCCTTAATAAAGGAGCATAACGTATAGTCTCTGAGGATCCTAGAAAAATAATAAAATTTTTCATCGTTTCCTGCGGATTGTCCATTTTTTTTATAATAAACTTATAAAAAAATTCTTTTTACTATTTAATGTTGTGTACGCTTCAACTGAGGTTTGTACTAAAAAAGTTTTCACAACTCTTATAAAAAGACTACCCCAAAAAAAAATATATATTTTTTTTGGGGTAGTCTT